TATTTTTTTTTATTTATATATGAAATTTATTGTCAAATTGGTTTCCATACAACACCCAGTGCTCATCCCAAAAGGTGCCCTCCTCAATACCCATCACCCACCCTCTCCTCCCTCCTACCCCCCATCAACCCTCAGTTTGCTCTCAGTTCTCAACAGTCTCTTATGCTTTGACTCTCTCCCACTCTAACCTCTTTTTTTTTCCCTCCCCCTCCCCCATGGGTTCCTGTTAAGTTTCTCAGGATCCACATAAGAGTGAAACCATATGGTATCTGTCTTTCTCTGTATGGCTTATTTCACTTAGCATCACACTCTCCAGTTCCATCCACGTTGCTACAAAAGGCCATATTTCATTTTTTCTCATTGCCACGTAGTATTCCATTGTGTATATAAACCACAATTTCTTTATCCATTCATCAGTTGATGGACATTTAGGCTCTTTCCATAATTTGGCTATTGTTGAGAGTGCTGCTATGAACATTGGGGTACAAGTGGCCCTATGCATCAGTACTCCTGTGTCCCTTGGATAAATTCCTAGCAGTGCTATTGCTGGGTCATAGGGTAGGTCTATTTTTAATTTTCTGAGGAACCGCCACACTGCTTTCCAGAGTGGCTGCACCAATTTGCATTCCCACAAAATAAATATTTTAAAAAAATAGCATGCTAAAAAGAGGAAAATACAAGCCATAGAGGAAATATCAGAAGATTAGGCTGACAGATAGGCAAGGTCCAGTTCTATATGCCATGTTATGGAGCTTGGATTCTATCCAGCAGGTAAGGGGAAAACCACAGAACAGTTTTAAGCAGTAAAGTGGTATCTTAATCTAGCAGCAGGCTGTGGAATGGATGTGAAGTGATGACAATGAAGGCAAGTTGATTAGTTAGGGTGGTGAAAGGGGCCCGAATCAGGGAAGTGTCAGTAGGAAGGAAAAGAAAAAATTTTTAGGTCAAATATTATTTTACTTGCTGATAAGTGTAAGTGAGGAAGAGGAACCAAGGATAAATAACGGGATAGGTGGAGGTACATTTAACTGAGATGGAAAAAACAGATATAGAAGGGATTTTTTTAAAGGTTTGGGATGGAGGTATAAGGAGGCGTGGGGGGGGGGGGATGAGTTCTGTTATGAATATGTTGAACTTAGGATGATGATGGGCTGTCAGGTGAGAAAGCCCAGGTGAAAGTCTGAGCAAAGTCTGGCACAGAGATACATATTAGGGAGATGTCAGATAATTGAAACCATGAGAATCAAGATGAGATCATCTAAGCACAGTAAGGAATGAGAAGAATAGTAAGGTGAAAACAAAACCTCAGAGACCACTGGTATTCAAGGGCCAACAGAATAAGAGAAGCCCGTGAATGAGAGTTAAAGGATAGCAAGAAAAATACAGTGAGCCCAGGAGAGTCAAGTGGCCAAGAAATTCCTAGGTTTGTCTGGCAAAATGTTTTTACAAAATCAGAATTTGAATACCTTTAGGCAAAACACATACCATCTTCCAGTTCAACTAAAGCCCCATTATTACTCATGCTGCACCATTTTCTGTGGCCTGTCTTACCTCTGAAGGCTTGTGTGTTTGTGGCCCCTGGAATAGAAGCCTCCAAAAAAGAGGGAGTCATTTTAAGTGTCATATATATAGCAGAGAGGACCAGAAAGACAAGGAATGAGAAAAGCCCACTAATGTAGCAACAGAGGGTCATGGTGGTGATCTTAACAAGGATAGTTACCCCCATCTGTGGTCATGATGGCAAAATCCAGTTAGAGAGGGGTGAAAAGTAAATAGATATAGTGAATGTGGCTATTCCTAAGAAATTTGGAGAGGGAAGGAAGAAAGACAAGACAGTAGCTAAAAGGGAACATAGGTCTAGGACGGCTTTGTTTTATTTTGTTTTTATTTTTTATTTATTTTTATTTTTTTTTAACTTTTTTTTCAACGATTATTTATTTTTGGGACAGAGAGAGACAGAGCATGAACGGGGGAGGGGCAGAGAGAGAGGGAGACACAGAATCGGAAACAGGCTCCAGGCTCTGAGCCATCAGCCCAGAGCCTGATGCGGGGCTCGAACTCACGGACCGCGAGATCGTGACCTGGCTGAAGTCAGACGCTTAACCGACTGCGCCACCCAGGCGCCCCTATTTTGTTTTTAAAGAATGAGAGAGACTCTGAATATGTCTATAGACTGATGCAGAGAGAGGTAATATTAGAGAGATGGGACTACCTGATGGAGCAAGATTTGGGAGGAGGCTGGAAGAGAAGGGTATAGAAGGTACAAGTGGAGTGGTGAGCTTTGGACAAGTGAAGGAACTCCTTGACCTCTGAGGCTGGAAGAAGAGAGCATAAGAATTTAGACCTAATTAAGACCTAGTGCAGGTTTTTCAGCAGGAAAGTGGCATGATCAAACTGTGTTTTAAGAAAATTAGTTTGGCACAAGCATGCAGGATGAATTGAAGAGAGGTGGCAGACTGTGGAGATGATGGCAAGCTAAACTAGAGTGGTACCGATAGAAATGGAGAAAATGAAAAATCTAATAGACATTTTAAAAGATATGACATAATTCTGGGACAGAGTAGCACTGGAAAAGTCAAGGAGAAGGAAGAGTTAAAATGACTCCAGGATTTGAACACCTATCCCAAAAGATTAGAGTGGTGGTAAAGGGGCAAGTGGAATGGCTTAAGATATATTGAGTTTGAAGCAATGGTTCTCAAATTTGAACCTTGAAAAAGAAACAAAGTCCTCTAGAGATTAGACGACTGCACAGAAAATGGGGGAAAAAAAGGGTGGGATAGTGTCATTCAGACAGGACAACTCTCTCATGCCAGAAAAAATTTAACAGAAGCTGGTTATTTTAGACATTTCAGAATTAGATTAACTATTTCATAAGGATCTTAATTTACCTGATATAAGGAAAGTTTTACTACTATACAAAGGCCAGTTCTTCAGATTCAGCAAAACTTTCTCCTAAACATTTAATTTTTTTCGAATCCCAGACATTTAACATTAAGTGTGCTTTTTAGTTGAGAGAATTTATAGAATACAACTGAACAATTTTTTCAAACTATATACATGGGTTAGTGATTCAAGTACTGGTTTGCTGCTTTTCAGGTGTTGGCTTCCATTAATACCAATAGTTACTACCAGCACCACTACTTCACACTCCCAATTCCAGAATTTTTAAGCTGGGAGGGACATTACACCATCACAAGGGCTTGGATATGGCAAGTGTCAGTGCTTTGCTTTTAATTGAAAGTTGGTTGATAAGTGCTTCACCATGATTGTGTGAAGAATAGAATGGAACCACAAATAAGTTCTGGTAACTTAAAGTCTGTTTTCTTGCCCCTCCTCTGTTTTCTGAATGTTAAAAAATAAGGAGGGGGTGGAATGTTGAAATATAAAATCATAGACTGGAATAAAAACCCTTTTTCTGTTCAGTCATGTGAAATAATCTGCATGAAAGTAATGTTTGGTGCCAGAATTATAATTAGTTTGAGTAATGAATTGTCTCCCTAGTAATGAAAGGAATAAAAGTAAAACAGTGCAGTAAGCTGGCATCTGATCATTGTAGGCTATTTGCAAAATTCTTGGACCAAGAAAAACTGTGTTAAAATAATTCCCCACCAAAAAGCAGGTCTAAAAATCTCCCCTTCCACAATTTCAAAATCTTTCTTAACATATTTTATGCAAATATCACAAAAGTATATTATAATCAAAACAAGTGACATGTTAAAATTAAAAGCTAACATGATGGGGGGAGGTGTTGCATATTATATGATTTCTGATGATACGAACTCAATTGAAAGACAAAGGGACCAGGTGAACCATTAACAAAATTAGAGGCAATGATAGGAAAATGCAGTAAAAGACAGCATAATTAAGAGGATGAACATGACACACACTCAAACTTCCAAGTACTTACAGCCCAAGCACATAAAAAAGAAAAAGCACTCTCCAAAGCCCAGAGAGCCATTAAAATTTTCTTTTGCTTTGCAACCACAATGCTATGAGATCGCTCCTCCTTTTATTTTCTTAAATATGATCCAAGATTTCAATTTTTTAAAAAAGTCACTCTGCATAAGTTTTCAAAAAATCAACTTCAGCTCCTGGGGGACTCATTTCCATAAATATTTAATGTCTGCGTATTTAATATTTGGGCATACAAAATCTCCTGTAGGTATCTTAAATTATCTCAGAGCTGAAAGGTTTCGGAAGCCACCTACCCCGACCCTTCATTTTACAGATGGAGAAATTAAGGCCCAGAAATAGGAAGTAATCTGAGCAAGGTCACAGGGCCAGTAAGAGGCAAAGCTGGGACTAACATCCAAGAGTCCCTACTCTCAATCCATTGCTCTTTTACTTTTCACAACTGCCTCTTAATATGAACCTCTGTGATATTTACAGAACGTCAGAATGAGGAATTATCAAGACATCCAAAGGATAATGGTATTCATTCATATACGGATTAGATAGGAAGAATGGATGAATGAATGTATGGGTACGTGGATATTCTATAATATTATTCACAAAACATATCACGTTTCTGTTTTGAAGAAAGCCTAGGTCTTGTCACTTTTCACAGCAGTCACTGTGTTCCACTACACACCAATCTTAGCAGTAAAGAATCCTCTGGTACATCCTGCAGTTTAAAGACTATTTACTTGCCAGCAAACACAGAAAGAAGTAGACTCACCTTTACTCCTATCCCTCTGGCTCTCAAACCTCTAACTTCCCCGTCCTATATATACTCTTTACCTGATGTCAGTGCATCACATTTGCATTCTCCTCACTCCCTTTGCACCTACCACCCTCGGTTTCTCCATTTAGACGAGGTGTCCTTTTCTAACTGTATGCCTCAGTCGGCCCTCCCCCACTCCACAGGCCCCTCGATCACCTTCTCATTCCTCTGTCGACAAATCTCAGCGTTTTCAAACCCTATGGCCCCCTCTTGCTTACACAGTGATGTGGCCGGCTCCCCGCACCAATACAGGATCGGGGGAATATCTCCGCAGATGCTCCTCACTCACTACCCGAGGTGGGGGCGGCGTCTCCTCCTCTTCCTCCTCCTCTTCTTCCTCCTCCTCCTCTTCTTCCTCCCCCTCCTCATCTTCCTCGTCGTCGTCAGGCCCCGATACCGACGACGACGACGACGGCGACGACGACGACGTTGCCGCTTCTTCTTCCTCCTCCTCTAGTTCCGAGATGGTGTCGAACTCCGCCATGTTGGGCAGCAGGATGCTCATCACGTGACCTCTCGATCGCCGCCACCCTCCCGGAGAAGAGTTTGAACCTACCGAGGTGCTGGAAGAGGAGGGGGAACGAAATGAAGAGAAAGCGGACGGGGGAAGGGACAGGATTTGAAGAGATGCGCCTGCGTGTTGAGGCAGACGATGAGGGCTGGAGGCGGGGGCATGAGGGGGAAAGGAACAAAATCTGTGTACGCTTGCGCGGCTCCAAAGGAAGGGGGGCGTTAGAGGTGAACTCCAGGGAATTGTTGAGGCCCGGTTTGCGGGTGCAGTGGTTAATACTGCACTTTGGGCTTCTGTTGCTTGTGCCCTGGGACGTATTTTCTGGTTTTATTTCCCATTAATTAGTAGTAGCTATCATTTCCCTCCCCACACCCCGTACAGGGAATGCATATTCCATAACGTGAGGTTAGAACTTTGCCTCAAATATCGCAAGGTATATACCAATCCCTTAACGTTTGTTCAGCATTAGAGTTTAAAAGACTTTTGCATCAGAATTTTGCAACCCTGGGAGGCATTTTTATAAACACTTCACTGAAGTGGAAATTTTTCTATTACTACTTCTATGCCTACTATGTAATACTTTAAATAGAGGATTTACTAAGTGTCTGGGACTGTGCTAAGCACTCTTTGGGCATATCTCATTTAATACTTCACAACTGCATGAGGTTATATACCAGGATGATCTCGCCTGACAGGTGGGAGACTTAGCAGCAGGGAGGATAAGTAACGTGCCCAAGGTCACGGAGTTACTAAGTATTTGGCAGACCTGGTTTTAAACTTGGGAATCTCTTCTGATTTTAAAAGCTCAGTGCTCTTAAACAAAGGGCTACCCTGCCTGAAGTCGTTTGCAAAGGCTTTGTAGTGTGGTGCATTTGGGGATGTTTCTTGAAAGGTATTTGAAGTTTGGAGGGTGTTTGTTTGTTTTACAGGTGAGAGGGGCATGGAGGAGGTGCAGGGAAAATTCCAACCTAAAGAAACATTAATTAATATAATCCATCTTCCATACACTGAGCTAGACTCTTTCACGTAACGATATCTCAGTTAACCCTTAAACACTCCTACGAGGTAAGCATTATCATATCCATTTTATAGATGGCAAAACTGAGTCTCAGGAAGTTTAAGTAATTTGTTAAGGTCTGTGGTAACATTTTGTCCAAAAGTTTCCATTCAAATATTTTTCCTATCTTCTCCACAACTGCTAAAATGTTGCAGAGATCACATATTTTGAGTTTGCAATCCATGTCCCAAACTACTTAATACTTACCAGCAGCACAGAAATCCATGTCATAATTCAGGGATCATTAAGACAGCAAAGTCACATAGCTGCTAATTAATAAAACAAATCCTGACTGCTATGCCACAGCTCCATCCCCATCAGAAGGTGAGACCAAGGAAACAGACATAACTGCGCTTTAAGATAAGCATTACGTTAGCAGTATAGCAATATAAACAAAGCATTTAGGATGTATGAAGGACAAAGAAATTAGTTTGTAAGAGGCGCCGATCAAACCATGATCATTATCAACAAGTTTATGTTACTAAAGTGAAGAAAATGTTTTGTATTCCATACCTTATTTAGAAACCTAAAAAATAAGCTGAAACACTATCAATAAGCAATAAAATCTAGTTTTCATAGTATAGAGAACTTAATCTGCTAGCCTAAAAATTTTTATAATAATTTTGCCTTCTGATAAGACAGATAAAATATATCTGTTTTCTTGGATATTAATAAAAACATGTCATATGTCATTTATGGAAATGAAATACCTTAGACTTGAGATCAAATCAGTATTTCACACTAGTTCTTCCCTTTCAAAAAGCAAAAAAGCCAGGGTGCCTGGGTAGCTCAGTTGGCTAAGTGTCCAACTTTAGCTCAAGTCATGATCTCACAGTTCGTGGGTTCAAACCTTGTGTCAGGCTCTGCACTGACAACTTGGAGCCTGGAGTCTGCTTCGGACTCTGTGTGTCTCTCTCTCTGCCCCTCCCCTGCTTGTGTGTGTACTCTCTTTTTCTCTCTTTCTCAAAAATTAATAAGTAAACATTGAAACAACAGCAAAAAAAAAAGCCATAGGAAATACTAAAAATTTTCCAAACATACTGTATTATCCATAAAGTTCCACTAAATTACTTTCTAGAAAGAAGTATTTTGCTGATTACTACTTAAATGGTATTTTTTCCTTTTCACCAGTCAGGATTAGGCTAGGAAGGGATATTTGAAAGGGAGAAAGGGAAAGGAATATAAGGGGTGGACTTTGTGATAAGTGCAAGTGAGATATTGGAACTATGGTAAAAATGAAGAAATGATGGCTGTGGGGGATGGAGAGAAGGAGAGGGAGGGGGAATTACACTGTCAAAATGGAAACGGGTCTCTGACATTTAGTCAGATGTCAAAAGAACAAAGGAGTGCTATGCTTCAAGAAACTCACAAGTTTAGTCAAATCTGCTTGTCTGCTTTCTTGCATATACAGTGTGCTGAAAATGCATATATAATTCCAGAAGTATTTTTTTTTTCTAAACGGAGAATATGGAATCGGGGAAGCCAAGAAAAACATGTTTTGTCAGTAAACACAAGGAACAACATGCTTTTTAAATGATACTTTAGCAACCATCAAGAATACTAAAGCTAGCAGTGGGTGGAGAAGAAAGCAGGCCATATAACCTTCCATCTGATGATGTAAGCAGGGCATGGGTGTAATTACCCTGTCTGAATGGGGATCTGAAGCCAGAGGTCACAGGTTTAGCCATCTGAGGGGGTTATAATCTAGAACAGCTGAAAGGGACTATAACTTAAAAGACACCTTTCTTCCTTTTCTAAGTGTGCATATTCAGTGATTTTCGTAAATCTACAGTTGTGCAACTATCATCACAAACTAATTTTAGAACATTTCTGTCACCCCCAAAAGAAATCACTGTCCCATTTTCAGTCATTCCCCATTCCGACCCCTAGCCCCAGGCAATAATTAATCTACTTTCTGTCTCTATAGATTTCTTTTCTGGACATTTCAAATAAAGTGGATCATACAATATGGGGTCTTTTGTTTAATTTCTTTTGCTTAGCATAATATTTTTGAGGTTTATCCATGTTGTGTCTTGTATGAGTACTTCATTCCTTTTAATTGATAAATAGTATGCCATGGTAAGGATATATCACATTTTGTTTACCCATTTACCAATTGATGATATTTGGGCTGCTTCCAATGTTTGGATATTATGAAAATGCTTCTATGAAAATTCACATACATGTCCTTGTGTGAACATATGTTTTAATTTCTCAAGGGTAGATATCTATGAGTGGAATTACTGGGTCATATGGTAAGACTGTTGATTTTAAGATAACTGCCAAACTGTTTTTCAAGGTGGATCAATCGGTTTACATTCCCACCAGCAATGTATGAGAGTTCCATTTTCTCCACATTCTTTCCAACATTTGTTATTTTCTTTTTTATTATAGCTATTCTTCTGGGTATGAAATATCTCACGTTGTAGGTTTATTTTGCATTTCCCTAATGACCAATGATGTGGAGCATCCTTTCATGTGCTTGTTTCACTTATATACCTTCTTTGATGAAATGTCTATTCAAATCTTTTGTCTTATTTATTAACTTAAGCTTTTTTTCAAGATAATTACACATAGATTCAAGATTCATATATAATTATAGAAAATAACACAGGGACGTCCTATTTACTCTTTATTCAGTGTTTCTCAATGGTAAAATCTTGCATAACTCTAGTACATTATGACAACCACAAAACTGACATGATAGAATCTACCCAACTTACTCAGAGTTCCGTAGTCATACATGTATTCATTTGTGTGTGTGTGAATTTAGTGCTATGCAAATTTAGCACAGGTGTAGGTTTATATGTCTACCACTATAGACAAGATAAAGAACAGTTACATCACCACAAGGATTGCTCCTGTTGTCTTTTTTAAAAAAAATTTTATTTATTTATTCTGAGAGAGAGGGAGAGAGAGAGAGAGAGAGAGAGGGAACTATTGGGGGAGGGGCAGAAAGAGAGAGGGAGAGAGAGAATCCCAAGTGAAGCAGGGCTCAATTGTGAAATCATGATGTGAGCCACAATCAAGAGTTGGAGGCTTAACCGGGTGAGCCACCCAGGCGCCCCTCCTGTTATCTTTTTATAACAATTTCTCCCTCCATCCCTGACAACCATTAAACTGTTTATGGTCTATAATTTTTGCACTTTCACGAATAGTATGTAAATTGTGTTATATGTATGTAACCTTTGAGAGTTGGCCTTTTTCACCCAGCATACTTCTGAGAATCATCTACATTACTGGGTGTATCCATGGTTCATTCCTTTTTATTGCCATATAGTATTCATAGTACAGATGTACAACAGTTTATTTAACAATTCACCCACTGACAGACATCTGGGTTTTTTCCTAATTTTTGGCTTTTATAAATAAAATGGCCATGAACATTTGTGTGCAGCTTTTTTACTTAAAAAAAAAAAACTGGATTGTCTACTTATTGAGTTACAAGGTGCCCTTTACATGTTCTAGATAGAAGTCTTTTATCAGATATATGGTGTACACACATTTTCTCCCAGTCTGTGGCTTGCCTTTTTAGGTTGTTCATGGTGTCTTTTGAACTGAAAAAGTATTCAATTTTGATGAAATCCAATTCATCAAATTTTATTGCTTGTGCCTTTTGTTTGAATGTTTATTTATTTTTGAGAGATAGAGCATGAGCAAGCAGGGGAGGGGCAGAGAGAGAGGGAGACACAGAATCCAAAGCAGGCTCCAGGCTCTGAGCTGTCAGCACAGGGCCTGACATGGGGCCAAACCCATGGACCACAAGACCATGACCTGAGCTGAAGTTGAACACTTAACTGGCTGAGGCACCCAAGCACCCCTTCTTGTGCCCTTAATGATGTATCTAAGAAATTTTTGCCTAACACAGTATCAAAAAGATCTGCTCTTATGCTTACTTCTAAAAATTTTTTAGGTCTGTGATCCATTTTGAGTTCGTTTTTGTTTATGGTATGTATAAGGGTCTAAATTCACATTTTTGCATGTGGCTGTTGAATTGTCCCAGCACCATTTGTTGAAGACTGTTCTTTTTCTGAATTGAATTGCCTTGATACCTCTGTTGAAAATCAATTAACCAGAATTATGGGTTTGTTTCTGGA